AAAGGAAAGCAATAAACAATGTACTGCAGTCACACAATCAATCCATCAGTTCCACACGGTCACAAAAACAAAACAAAAAAAGCCACAAAAACAAAAACGCAAAATAAATAGCAAAAACAGACAGACTTCAGTGTAACACTCAAAATGGAAGTGTGTCACTCAAAACGGAGCATGCTCAGCTTCCAAAAGAAGTTTGCAAACCAGGTTTGCAGTGTTTGGGTTCCAAGTTGTTTGAGTGCCAAGGCGTTTGAGAACCAAAGCACCACTGTAGAAGGGTATATAATTAAGCAGGGTGAGTGGGCAGAGAAAGCTTTTTCTCTCACTCTCTTGACACTAGAACTCGGGGACCTCCGATGAAAGTGAATGTGGGAAGATTCTGGATAAAAGAAGCCCCTTCTCCACACATTCCCACAGGAAGCAGCGATGGGCACCAACTTGGATGCCTTTAAAGTTGCTTAAGGTCTCTGCCCTCGCATTTTATCTTCACAACAAACTTTGAGGTAGATAAGGCAGAGATACTGTGATAGGAATTTTGAGGTTTTAGATATATGTTAAATGTTCATAAGTGTTACCAACCAAGCACGTATATAGATCAGCACAGGAAGACCAACCTGAAACCATTTTTGATTCCCAAACTGACCAAATGTTTTCTCTGCAAGGTCAAAGGAAAATGGAAAAGCCTCCCCATTGTCTTTTCCTTCACAAATCCTGTCTTGAGGGCACATTTAAAATATGAATAGGGTGTGAGCCTGTGACCTGGCTCAGGAACTAAGTATTTATCATTACAAAAGACTGGCCAGGCTCCCCAGGCAATCCAATCAAGTGACCATTAAACAGGTAACCTGGCAGACAGGAGGTTAAACAAAGCACTCAGATTTCTGCTGTAGACCGCCCTCTCTGTGATGTAGGTATGATGTATCTGGGGGTGGTCTTGGACTCCAGGGAGGGAATTTAAAATGTCTATATAAGGACAGGCACACTTTTGTTCTGAGTTCCTCCTCCCTCCTTCGTGTGGTGAGTGAGGACCCTGTTGCAACAGATCAATAAAGATCAGGCTTACTAGCTGCTTTGCTTCTCAATATTCTCTGCTTGGCCTCTGTTATTTTCTCCTACCAATAGGGAACCTACGTAAGGACTCTGTATGGGCTCTTGGATACCCCATAAGGGGGAAAAGGGCAGATTTTTCTTTACAACAATACCGGAACTGGCTGAAGCATCGTGTTGGGGGGGGGGATTTGAACCCATCTCCCCACTTCCAGTCAGTAGCCACTAGACTGGGCCACACTGGCTTCCTTTTTCTTCAGAGTGGCATGGTGGGTGTCAGGTTTTTGAGAAATGAAATTATAGCTGTGGTCTTTTGTCTCTCGCAGACAAGGCCCACGGAGCAGACATCCTTTGTGTTGACTGGGATCCGCCCTGGGGTGACGTACCAGGTCCAGGTGGCAGCGAAGGACTTCCTCGATCACGGCGAGTACAGTGCCTGGAGTCCGGCAGCATCAGGGGCAGCCTGGATGCCAAAGTGATGTGCTAGAAGAGCATCTGGAGTTCCTGTGGATTTCGGATGAGCCCCCACTTCCCAGGGATGCCCAAGAGTTCTTCATCACCTTTTGCAATTCTGGAGTTCACACAGAGCCTGAAGTCTAATTTCTATTTGCATGGGGAAATTTCAGCTCCTTTTCCTCCTTTTCCTTTACTGGGAACTAATTTGACTCCCCTTTTTCTTCTATATACCGTATTTTTCGCTCCATAGGACGCACCGGACCATAGGAGGGGGAGAACAGGGGAATTTTTTTTTCTTGTTCTCCCCCTCTAAAACAAGGTGCGTTCAAGGTACATTCACCAGAGCTTGTGGGGCTGGTGGTGGGGAGAAGCGCTGCTTTCCCCCACCTCCAGCCTTAAAGATCCCTGAAGCCTTTGGAGCGCAGCGCCCCGCTGCCCTGCAGAGGTTTGCGCGCAGCCATCCCCAAGCTAGAACAGCGAGACGGAGGGCTCCGCAGTGCTCCGTCTTCCTGTTCTGGCTTTGGGCTTAGCGGCGCAGCCTGCATTCGCTCTATAGGACGCACACACATTTCCCCTTAATTTTTGGAGGGGAAAATGTGTGTCCTATAGAACGAAAAATACGGTATGTGATAAATGTATACTCTCATTGCACTCTCAGTTGTTTCCCGGTTTTCCCCTCCCCTCTATATTTTCAGTTTATTTTTCTATTTGCATTTCTTACATTCATTATTCTCCCTGCATTTGGTATGTGCTTATGCCAATAAACATTCTGTATAAAAAATGACAACAACAGTTTCTTGTTGAAAAAGAAAAAACCTAGTTTCTTTCACACACCCTCCCCAAAAGATCATAAACCACCAATCCGGAAGTTTCTGACAAGGGCTTTTTGAGAAAGCACTATCTATATCACACTGCAACCAATGGCAGTATTCAAATTTATCTTAATAGGAATTAATAACATCTCATTACTCAAAAGGCTCATATCAGCCAATCTTCTTATATAATGTTACTGTTGGAAAACAAGAGCAAGAACATAACAAAATCCTACTGAATCAGGCCAGTGACCCAACTAGTCCAGCATCCTGTTCTCACAGTGGCCAACCAGATGTCCTTGTAAGCAGGACATCAGATTATTATATTATATTATATTAGTCCAATCACTGCATTAGTATAGGATACTTCAGTTATTTCTGTTTACATTTTATGAAAATATGCATTTTAACAGTATTGCACATTTATTTTTATATTAACAATGCACTTAAAATTACTACTCACAGCAATGAATACATAATTGCATTGCACACATAGTTAAGCAGTATAAAAATGTGTAAACAATGTTCTTAAAAACAATTGTTAACGATGCCTAATATCTTTCTTACTGTGATTAGTGTTACCTTTATTGCTACTAATACCAGGAGCTTACAAGATTATTCTGGGGTCTGGAAACCAAGCCTTATGAGGAATGGTTGAGGGAGCTGGGATTGTTTAGCCTGGAGAAACAGAGTCATCTTCCAATATCTCGAGGGCTGTCACATGGAAGAGGGAACAAGCTTGTTTTCTCCTGTTCTGGAGAGTACGACTCGAACCCATGACTTCAAGTTACCAGAAAGGAGATTCCAACCAAACATCGGGAAGAACTTTCTGACAGAAAGAGCTGTCCGAGAGTGGAGAATGGACTAGCTAGGAAGGTGGCGGCCTCTCCTTCCTTGGAGGTTTTTAAGCAGAGGTTGGGTGGCCATCTGTTATGAATGAACTAGCTGAGATTCCTCATTGCAGGGGGTTGGGCTAGATCACCCTTGGGTCCCTTCCAACTCTATGATTCTATAAGTACCAGTGATAAGACAGTACACAAAAGGAAAAGGGGCTGGAATGGAGGAGGGCAGGGGAAAGAAAACTCCTGGCACACATACTTTCTTGTTACAGAACTAAAAGATTTCCCAAGATCAGAGCAGGCAAAACATTTCTTCTTGCTTCATTAACAAATTACTTCTTAGGAAGCAGTACAAAGCACTGGACGAAAAAAACAGAAACAATGATAGACACACATAATAAACTATTTCCAGGCCCATTTCTCTCCACATCCTTCAACTTGAGGTTTGGATAGAGAGAGCTGAGGACTGGAGTTGAACTCCACAGCAAGAACATCTCCAGGAGAGAGCTGCATGTTCTGTCAAGAGGTCTCTTTGAAAATCATCCCTAGGCGAAACCCCAACCCTAACCCATGGCCCAGGCTTCTCACATCGGTGTGGGTAACCAGAGGTTCAGTTTCACTCAATTGTGAGAGAAATAATTTGTGTTGCTTTTTTATTGCCTTTTTAGAACAAATGTTGCTCTTATTAATTGCTTTTTTTTTATAAAAGTCATAAGGCCATAAGGTTATTATGGTTGGGAGATTTTTATCTGGGGCTGTTCTGACCGAACCCAAAGGGTGCTCATCAATGGTTCCTCTTCATCCTGGAGAAGAGTGACTAGTGGGGTGCCACAGGGTTCTGTCTTGGGCCCGGTCTTATTCAACATCTTTATCAACGACTTGGATGATGGACTCAAGGGCATCCTGATCAAATTTGCAGATGACACCAAACTGGGAGGGGTGGCTAACACCCCAGAGGACAGGATCACACTTCAAAACAACCTTGACAGAGAACTGGGCCAAAACAAACAAGATGAATTTTAACAGGGAGAAATGTAAAGTATTGCACTTGGGCAAAAAAAATGAGAGGCACAAATACAAGACGGGGGACACCTGGCTTGAGAGCAGTACATGTGAAAAGGATCTAGGAGTCTTGGTTGACCACAAACTTGACATGAGCCAACAGTGTGACGCGGCAGCTAAAAAAGCCAATGCAATTCTGGGCCTCATCAATAGGAGTATAGCATCTAGATCCAGGGAAGTAATAGTGCCACTGTATTCTGCTCTGGTCAGACCTCACCTGGAGTACTGTGTCCAGTTCTGGGCACCACAGTTCAAGAAGGACACTGACAAACTGGAACGTGTCCAGAGGAGGGCAACCAAAATGGTCAAAGGCCTGGAAATGATGCCTTATGAGGAACGGCTAAGGGAGCTGGGCATGTTTAGCCTGGAGAAGAGGAGGTTAAGGGGTGATATGATAGCCATGTTCAAATATATAAAAGGATGTCACATAGAGGAGGGAGAAAGGCTGTTTTCTGCTGCTCCAGAGAAGCGGACATGGAGCAATGGATCCAAACTACAAGAAAGAAGATTCCACCTAAGCATTAGGAAGAACTTCCTGACAGTAAGAGCTGTTCGACAGTGGAATTTGCTGCCAAGGAGTGTGGTGGAGTCTCCTTCTTTGGAGGTCTTTAAGCAGAGGCTTGACAACCATATGTCAGGAGTGCTCTGATGGTGTTTCCTGCTTGGCAGGGGGTTGGACTCGATGGCCCTTGTGGTCTCTTCCAACTCTATGATTCTATGATTCTATGATTCTAAGAGAGGTCTTGGCTCAGAAGCACTGTTGGAGCCTTCAGGCTTCCCTCCTTGACTGGCCTGGCCCTGGGGCTGGTTTTGCTGCTCCCTGAGTCCCGCTGCTTCTCCCTCAGGATCAGTCTCTTGGGAACTGGAGGCTGAAGAAAAAGATTGGCGAGGGAGAAGAGGTGGCTTACAAATTTACCCCAAAATATGTCCTCCGGGCTGGGCAGGCGGTCACAGTAAGTCATGGTTCTTTCCTCGGGAGAAAAGGCCTCCTCATTGGAAGGGAGGGTATTGGTTGCCCAGTATCCAGAGACCTGCTCACGCTCTGCCCACCTTCCGTGCCCAAGGCAGAACCTCCTTGGTTGTTTCCTGCAGCCTGTGGAGAAAAGGCTCCCTGTGACTGGGGGGGTGGTCCCTGCAGGAAGCCCAGATGCCTCTGCCACTTGGAGGGCTGGCCATTGGGGTCAGCTTGGAGAGCTGCTCCCTCTGGCGTGGTGAAGGATCAAGGGTGCCCTGCCTGTGAATGAGGGAGTCTCTTTCTTGCTAGATCTGGGCAGCTGATGCTGGGGTGGCCCACAGCCCACCTTCTGTCCTTGTGTGGAAGCACCAGACCAGTTGGGGCACCGGGACCAGTGTCCGCACCTACCTGGTGAACTCTGATGGAGAGGTAGGTCCTCCGAAGGGGGGCACTGTGGGTGGGGGGTGGAGGTGCTGGAGAAGCCAAATAGTGAAGAAAAGGTTGCCTTGCTTTTGATGCAAGGACATGACAAAGAAGCTGCCTTTGAGCATTCACTGAGCACCTGCTACACTCAACATGAGCTGTGTCTCTCCTACTTCTTCTCAGGAAGTTGCTGTGAGGAGTTTGACTCAGTCATCTGCTGTGCTGCAGGACAACGGGGAGGAAGATGAGGAGGCAGAGTTTGGGGAGGAAGACCTCTTTCACCAGCAGGTAGCTGGAAGAAAAAACACTTCCACCCACCCACCAAGGGTTGAATCGATTGGGGCCTGACTGCAGCCATGGTTTGGGGGTGGTTCCAAGGAGACAACGGGGTACCTTGGTCTCTCCCAAGGGGCAGTTTCTTTCTCTCTCTCTCTCTCTCACACACACACACACACACACACACACACACAGCGAGGCTGAGCAGCTTAGGCCCAGCCTTTTAGTTATCAAAGGTAACGAAAGGAGTTGGGAGTTGACTCTGCTCAAGAAGGGAAAGTGAAGAAATTGGCCAAGTCAGGAGTCTCTTCCTCCCTGGGGTGGCAGAGGGAGCATTCCTGGGTCAAAGGGGAGGACTTGTGAGGGTAGATTCTGGGAGGGAGGGACTCCCAGCTGCTCATCTCTGCTGTGGGTGGTGCCCAGGAGCTGCTCTTCTTTCCTTCCTGCACCCAACTGGCTGTGGCACACACACCCTGCCTCTCTCTAGGGTGGCCGGTCCCCAAGTGGTAGAAGCTGCTAAGAGGACAGCTAGGCTGAGCTCTATCCAAGTTGCCCCTCTGATCTTTAGCCAGGGCAGGAGAGAGGGTTCTGCCGGGGCCACCTGGGGAGCTTCCTGATGCCCCTCCTTCCTTCTCTATCTCCAGGGGGATCCCAGGACCACCTCCAGGGGCTGCACCGTCATGTGAGAGGAAGGGAAACCGTCTCTGCTCGTCTTTTCTCCTTTTTTTGCTCTGCCCAGGGACTCTGCCCTGAGTCACTGAAACTATTTTTATACATTGCATATGATCACTCCTTTTCTTTCTTTTTCTTGGAGATGGTTCCTTAGTAAACTTCTTAAAGAGAGAACTTGAATCAGCCAGAACTGCCACCATCTTTTGAAGACTTGCTTTCCCTTTGCAATGCCCATGGTCTACTTTGTTTGTTGTCTTACTTGCAAGCCAAAGAGTGATGCAGCTCCAGGAGTTTCCGGGGAAGAGAAAGCATGGCTGAAGTTGCCACTCTGGAGTGGACAGTCTGCTTCTGTGGCCCTCCTGTTCTTGTACTGGGGGGAGGTGGTCAAGCAGTGACCCTGGTGTAAGCCTGCCTGTGCCCTCAGGGGCAACCCCAGTGGTTGTGCAGATAAAACCAGGTGGCAAATGTGAGGATTAGTGATCTTTTCATGCCATTGACCCTAGGTGTGCCTCAGAAGGCCTGGACCTCCTAGGACAGAATGACTCTGGAAACAGTTTGGGCAGCTCTGTGGAGCATGGAGGTCTCAGAAGCTGAGATGAAGTGAGAAGCACTGATTTAAGGCAAGGCTTGTTTGAAGTCATTGCAGAACTTCCCCTGCCTAAGTTCTGCTGCCATGCTTTCAAGCAGGGAACAATCCTAACCATGTCTACTCGGAAGTAGGTCTTGTTGATTTCAGTGGGGCTTACTCCCAGGTAAGTTAAGATTGCTGCTTCCTTGCGGAATGACCCTAGAAACAGGGTTGTATCAAGTCAAAGGCCCACTGAATCCAATGGATGCAACTCACTTGAAGGCCTAATCTAAATAAAAATAAAACAGAAAGGGAAAAAAAATCCAACAGGCGGCCAGGTGGGTCGCGACAGCCCGGCGGTGGGGGCGAGAAGAGCTTGTTTATACAGAATGTGCACATTTTTTAATATTTATGACTGCATGTACAATACAGCAATGTATCACATAATCACCTCCGTCTCCTGTTTGTTTTATGCTTTGGTGCCTCTTCTCAGTTATATTGTAGCACCCTGCTTGTGGTTAACGCTTAGCTGGAATGAAATATTCAACGCAGCAATAGAGAAATTAAAATAATAATTTATTTGTCAGACAAATAAATGAGAGGCACAGTGGTATATGGTTACCAAGCTCTGGCCTGGCCTCCTGCCATTATGGCCAGCACTTATATTCCCTCAGCCCAGCCCCCTTGCTCCTCCTTTGGCTGCCTCTGTCCAATCAGCCTGGTTGAATTTCCTATTGGCTGATTGCTAGAACCAATCATATAAGATACACCCATTTCCTATTACCTTTTATGGGAGACAGAGAGCCATATTTCCTTCTATTTATAATTGGCAAACAAGTAGCCATTAACCTCTACAAGGCACCTTAATTACCAGATCACCTTTGCCCCCTTAATTCTAAAATAGAGCAGGTGGCTAAAACAGATGGTGGGGTATTTTTATCTGAACAGATCTCTTGTTCATCTTTTTACACATCAGTTATGAAAGATCTCCTTCTTTGGAGCCATATGTCAGGAGTGCTCTGATGGTGTTTCCTGCCTGGCAGGGGGCTGGGCTCAATGGCCCTTGTGGTCTATTCCAACTCTAGGATTCTAGGATTCTATGAAATAAGAATCTAACATAAGAATCTAAATTTCTAAATCCTTTGCATAATTACATTTAAGCCAATATATTTCATACATTAACATATATAGCTTTTTAGAAGGAAAGGAACTTAGTAAAAGCTAAGCTAAATTCTCTCTAAATTCTCTAAAGCTTCAAAGCAGTTTCAGAGAGCTGCTTTTCCTAGTTCAGCTGCTGTTCCTATTTGTGGCTCAAGTCTCTAATGGGAGGCACAATAATTCTATTTACCAGCTTAATTGTGTTTTTGCAACTTGGTTATTCTGTAATTTGTAAGGTCAGTGACCTCGCTTCCCAGCCTTTTTATGACCGCAATAAACCAGGGGCCCTCTGCTTGCCAGCTGCTTGCTGGTTTCCTGCCTGGCATGAGAGATACAAACATTTGCAAATATATTTTTTAAATATACAGATCTTGATCTGATGCCTCAATATGATGATGAGAACAGAATCCTTTGCACAATCTGAGCCCCTTTGTGGAAGTGGGAGTCTCTCTCAGTCAGCCATGTGGGCTTGTCAAAGCTGTTTGCTGGCTGAGAGATCTAAATGCTATTTATTATTTAGGCAGATTCACAGCACCTGAGCCAGGCCTTCCTCTGCTAGCACGTTCTACAAGAAGAATACCAGCCACCGCCAAGCACACAGGCTGTGTGTTTTTGCATGTCTATGTGAAAGGATCAGACCCTGCCTATGGGGTGGGTGGGTGTGGAGAGGAGAGAAGGAAGGAGGTGGGTTCCTGATGCAATTCCCTGCTACAGACATTCCTGTGAATACCCCCTGGCACCCCCCTTTTTGGATGCCACTTCTCTCTCTCTCACGCTCACGCACACACACACACACACACACACACACACACACACAAAAACACACAATCTTTGTTGAATGGCAGTGGATCTGGAGCCTCCATGCCTTCTGTGTGAGGCAAGGGCACCATCCCGAGGAAAGCCAGCAGAGTCTGGGCACCTTACAAATGTCTTATGTAGGAACATCAGAGGCCTGGAGTCCAATGCCAACTTGCCCTATGTGTGTCTGAGGAAGTGGGCTCTGGCCCATGAAAGCTTCTGCCTTGATAAATTGCCTCTTTAAAATAATAATAATAATAATAATAATAATAATAATAATAATAATAATAATTTTATTTATATCCTGCCCTCCCCAGCTGAAGCCGGGCTCAGGGCGGCTAACAACAATAAAATAAGACAACATTTTAAAACCATTTCATTAAAATAATAATAATAATAATAATAATAATAATAATAATAATAATACTTCAAATCAGATTCATGGCAACGATTGGGCCAGAGTTCTGTGAGGATTACCAAAGGAGGGGGTCAGACTGCCCTGGCCAAAGGCTTGGCGGAGCAGCTCTGTCTTGCAGGCCCTGCGGAAAGATGTCAAATCCGGCAAGGCCCTAGTCTCTTGTGACAGAGCGTTCCACCAGATCGGAGCCACAGCCGAAAAAGCCCTGGCTCTGTTTGAGGCCAGCCTAACCTCCCTGAGGGTCGGGACCTCCAGGATGTTTTTGTTTGAAGATCGTAAATTCCTCTGTGGGACATACCAGGAGTGGCGGTCCCTTAGGTACGAGGGACATGAACTTTGTGCTCCTTTTTGTAGGAGTGCAAATATCCAGAGTGTGGGGTCAGGTGGGATTACTATGAGGAATTATAAAATATGCGTCAAGCCATTGTGTCCACGATGAATGCATTGTGTTGACTGGGTTTGATACATTGACAATAATTTCTGATCAAATCCCACAAGCCTCTGCATCTCTGGCCATTTCCTCTCTCGCTTGACAAGTCACGTACACAGCCCAGTTGCTTCGCCAGGCAGGGTCCTGGGTCATCAAAGACAGTGGGCAAGCTTCTTTGAAGTAGCCTCTCCAATAGGTTAATCTTAGGGTCAGGAAACAGGTTTCACATAAAGGTGATAATGATCGCTGTCCTCCTGGCCATCCTCCTTATCATGTATATTGCTTGTTTATGACCTCAGGGGTTGCCAAATGTCTTCCTTTGTAGTTCTGTTCTTTGTTTACCCCATGCTTGATTAGTTTTAGTAGTTTAACTTGTCCCCACCTGGGTTTGTTGAAATGCTCAGAAGAATCTGATTGGTTCTTACAAAAATTCTGTAAACAGCTCTTCTGTGAATAAAACCCGTGGGCCAGGGGCTGGACAGGCACAGAGAGACTATTATACGCACCCTTCCCAGAGTCTTGCTGGTTCAAGCCTCTGTGTGTATTCTTATTAACCAGAGTTCAATCCTTCCTTTGTGAATGCCTCAAGTGGTGCCCCGTGTGAGGCAAACCTAAAAGGGAACCATGTGAGGCTTGTAAACAAACCTCAGCGTGTGAGGCAAAGCTAAAAGGAAACTTCAGCAAAAGGAAACCCCCAGGATTGCACTCCCCTCAGAGCTAGCAACCTGCTATCCCTCGGTCGCGGCGGATCATCTCCTGCAAAACGATTCCCGGACTTAGGATCTCATTCGCTCGGAACGAGCCCCAAAGACGCGCGTCTATTACCCTTCAGGTGAGATCATGGGAAGCAAGCTTTCACAAGTGCAGGAAAAGCATAGGAATAATTTGTTATTTTTGCTAGCTCAGGCAGGGCATGATAAGCATTTAGCACCCCTAGTAGAAAAATTGTTGTTAGAGATTGCTAGACTGTGCTCCTGGTTTCCAGAGGGGGATACTTATGACATTAAGAAATGGAATGAGCTGGGAGATGCACTCCTTAGGCATCCTGAGCATCTGTACAAGTCTTGCACACCTGGCATTTGTGTAGAGACGCAGTTGGAAAGCTCTCTAACCCTTTGCTCCAACCACCAGTTGTCTCTGTGAATGCTCCCACATTGTTGCAACCCCTAGCTGCTTTAAAAAATACCATAATATTGTTCCCTCCATCCCAGCCTCTAGATTTCCAGCCTCTCTCCTCAGAAATCATGCCAAAGGTAATTCCATTGGCACCTTCCTTTGCCAAAAATTTGCCTGGGTCGAATGTAAATTCCATGCCACCTTCGGTGGACCAATGCCCGCAAGGGGCTCAGACCACAGTGCAAAAATTGACTATTCCAAATATGGCAGAAGGAAGCAGTGAAGAAAAAACAGCTGACACATTACCATTATTAGCAGTCTGTCCTGTTGTTCAGAATGCACAGGAACAGAGAGCCCATGATTCATTGCCCTTTGCAGTTTTTAAACAATTGAAGCGAAGTGTGACAGAAAATGACTGGAGCAGCTGGGTCTCTGGCCTCCCTGGGCTCTGCCCAGGCGCCTCTCGCAGCAGCACTCCGCCCCAGTTTGAGATCTGCTCTGGAGGGTAGGACTCGAACCCATGGCTTCAAGTGACAAGAAAGGAGATTCTGACTCAACATCAGGAAGAACTTTCTGAAAGTAGGAGCTATTCAAGAGTGGAACAGTCTCCCTCGGGAGGTTCAGGACTCTCCTTCCGTGGAGGTTTTTAAGCAGAGGTTGGAGGCTGTCCAGGGTGCTTTGTTGAACGGCGGCAGCAGCAGCGGTGGGCGGGGGGTGAGCTGACCCTTGGGGCTTCCCTCCAACTCTACCATTCCAAGACTTTTGCTCCCAGGAGCTCAAAGTGGTGCACACAGGTCTCCCGCTCTTCATTTGAACCCTACAACAACCCTGTGAGGTAGGGCAGCCTGAGAAACAGCGACTGGCCCCAAAGACATGCAGTGGGCTTTGTGGCTGAGCGGTGGGATTCAAACCCTTGTCATCTTCCCCAGGCCTCCTTTAATCCTCACAACAACAGCCCTGCAAAGTAGGCCAGGCTGAGAGAGGGGCTCTAATTCCACCGTCCTTCATGGATTCGAACCCAGGTCCCTCAGGGCCTGACACTCTCCCCCACTGCACTGCAGGACTCTGCTCCTCTCCCTGCGTGGAATTAGGC